GACTTTGTCACCATCCTTATGGAGTTTGCAGTTTAGCAGTTAAACAGGACAGACAAGATAGACAAATATCATTAGTTGAAGTTAAGTTCGGGGATCTCAAGAGTGGATTGAGTATTTGGGCAGGTTAATCTGGGCACAGGTCCTGAAGGAGGAGAAAGGTGTCAAGCTGTTATTGAAAGCTGCAATTATTGGATTCCTGAAAAGGTCAGAATTTCCTAGAATCTCTTACTTCTCTTGTTATCCAAACTTTTTGTCTTCAGGTTGATATAACAGTAGCTGTAGCCCTTTGCTGGGTTGGCTTGTTGATTGGTTGTATCTGGAGTAGAATAGCTCTTGCTTTGTTACTGATAGGCCTGTGTTATTGATATTCTGTGTTATTATTTGTTTTGGTGATGTCAAACTGAAGCGACTAGAATTTTGGAAGACCATTCCCCTGAGGTCCGGTTCTTTAGAGTGTACCTGGGAAAGTGGAAAGTGTAAACTGAGGAGGGGAGGGTTTCAAAATTCATTGGCCTCAGAGTGTGCCAATCTTCCCTACAAAGAGCAAGAATTGGATGGGATTCCATAGATTTGGCTCTAGAAAGGGAAAAGACAAAGCATTAAATGTGTTACCACTTAGGGGAGAAATTACCAAGCAGATTCAAAGTATTCCAGGTACTGGGAAAGTCAGCTTTGTGAGTCCAGGCTCATGCCAGTGGGAATAAAATCTCTCCTTTTATGGCCACCTGACTCCCCCCCAAAATCCTTCCATCCCCTCCCCATCCCCAGGGGCTTCCACTATCCCATCACTAGGAAGTTATCCCTTGGATTTAAGCCATTTACAGCACAAGGCATTCTCTTTGAAAATATGAGAAAAATAATGCCTTATGGAAATAATTTTTTTAAAAAATTTTTAATAAATAAGACATTTGGGGGGGTTAGGGAGAAATTGGTAAAGGGCCACAAAAATGTTTATGTTATGTAATGATAAAATAAAAAAATAAATTAAAAAAAAAAGAAACCCCCCCTTTTGTCTCTAATAATAAAAAATGCTCTTGTTGAAGCAGGGGTAGGGGCTTCACCTTTGCTGGCCTTTGAGACACACAAAAAATGTTCTACTAAACACGGTGGCCGGTGGCAGATGACTCTGTCCCTGGTGAACGCACTGCTTATTGAGTTTTGCAAGATCAGGAGCTCAGCTTTATTAATTCAGTTCCTGGGGTATATAAGCCTGTGCAAATCTAACCTCATAAACACATGCATGCCAGGAGGCCAATTTACAAATGAACTATGAACGAGCATGGCTGTCCGGTGACCAGAATAGTCACATCTGCTTCCCAAGGCACATATTTCCTGAAAGAAATTTACAACCAGGAGGTTGCTTGGTGAGCATGGAATCCACCCTAAGGGAGGG